TTTTTTCCATTCTGTAAATTTTTTCTGTACATATTATGAGGCTTATTTTTAGGCATATACACATTGACATTGTTATGTCTTCAAGACAGAACTACCCTTTTCTATTTATGAAATGTTTTTCTTTATCTTTGGTAATCATCTCGATCTTTAAGTTTATTTTATTTGGTATGAATATAGCCACATCAGCCTTCTTGTAGTTATGTTTGTGTGATGTATCTTCTTCTATCCACTTACTTTTAACCTATCATTTTCTTTACAATTAAAGTGTATCATCTATAGAGAGTATATAATTACCACTTTTTTTTTATACATTTTGGCAATCTTAATTAAAGTGTGTCCTCTGTAGGCAGCAGATAGTAGTAACTTGCTATTTTATCCATTCTGGTAAACTATGCCTTTTAATTTGAGTATCTAGTATCTAGTAACATATAATTCTACCACTTTATTGTTTTCTGTTTGCTCCCTTTATTTTTGTTCCTTTATTTCTCATTTTCTGTCCTTATTTGGTAGTGAGGGGAGTGTTTGAAATTTTATTTCATTTCAGTTTATCTTTTGCCTATACCTCTTTGCATTGGTTTTCTTCAGTAGGTGCTGTAGGGATTACATTTTACATCTGTAACTCTTCACTGTGTTCTTAAAGTTACTGTTGTACCACTTAATATGAAAGCAGAAAACTCACATTTCTGTATGTCCGTTTACCCTCTCTTCTACCGTCCTTTATACTATAGCTGTCAAAAGTATCATGTATCCATACAGTATAAACCTCACAAAACAATGTTTTAATTTTTTCTTTGAACAGTTTATATGTATCGAAAGCCAATTAAGAGTTAAAAAATAGTATTTTCCGTTTCTCAGATATTTATTATTTCCAGTGATCTTCATTTGTTTCTGAAAATTTGGGTTATCCTATGGAATTTCAATTTAGTCTGAACAACTTTCTTTCTTTCTTTTTTTTTTCTTTGAGGAAGATTAGCCCTGAGCTAACTACTGCCAGTCCTCCTCATTTTTGCTGAGGAAGCCTGGCCCTGAGCTAACATCCGTGCCCATCTTCCTCTACTTTATATGTGGGACGCCTACCACAGCATGGCGTGCCAAGCGGTGCTGTGTCCACACCCGGGATCCAAACTGGAGAACCCCGGGCTGCTGAGAAGCGGAATGTGCGAACTTAACCGCTGTGCCACCGGGCCGGCCCCTGAACAACTTTCTTAATTTTAATCACTTTCTGTATTGTGGGGTTTGGTGGTGACACATTCTCTTAGTTTTTCTTCATCTGTAAAATCCTTATTTCACCTTAATTTTTGAAGCATATTTTTCCTGGATATACAATTCTAAGATGACCTTGGTTTCTTTTCCTTTCAGAACTTTAAATGTTTTTCCACTGTCTTCTGGCTAGTACTGTCATCTAATGAGAAGTCCATAGTCATTTAAGTTATATAACATATGTCACTTTTGTCTTTATTTTCAGCAGTTTTACTATATACCTGGGCATAGTTTTCTTCAAATTTATTCTGTTTACAATTCTCTGAGATTCTCGACTTTGTTAATTTATGTCTTTCACTAATTTAGGAAAGTGTTTTGTTCATTATTTCTTAAAATTTTCCTGCAGCATTCTTTCTCTTCTCCCCTTCTGAGACTCGAATTAAACTCTGGAATCAGAAAAGCCAAGTGAAGTGCATGGAGTGTGGTGTATTTCCTCCCTGTCTGTCCTGTGATTTGATGGGGTCACCAAGTTCCACCTTAGTTTCCACGGATGAACTAGAACAAGCAATAATAATGAGGAGTGAAAACAGCTATACTGTCCTTATGAAGTCTGAGCTGATTTGTGACGGAGGCACGTCAGATATTAGGAAGCTAATTCAAAATGTCTGTTTTGAGGTGCTTGTTTGGAGATAAAAGAAAAGAGTCGGTAGGCAGTAGGATGGATGTCACTTGAAAAGAGGCTCAGTCCATATTTCTCATGTGGTATGGTAAAATGGCAGAATGTCTTATCACGAGAGACAGAATGCTTATATTTAAATTTATGTGAGTTAGAAGACCAGATAAAATGGTAACACTATTGAGCTCTGTCTGCAGCATAGCAGGAAGTGTCCAAAAGAAATCACCCGGAAAATTACATGAGGTGATGCTCTTGACCAAACATTAAAATTTATGTCTATTTTATCTCTGTTTTGCATGAGATGTTATGTCTGAATAGTTTGAATGACAATTATCCTGTTCGAGTTGTCTTTTCTCTCCTTTACAGCCAACTGAATACAGAAATCGCACACCAAAAATCATGACAAGAATAGAGGTAGAGTGAAAGACGTTGAATTAGGAATCCAAGACTTCAGTGAATGAAGAGGGGTGACCCACAGTTTTGACAGGACCTGGAAGGTAGAGTAGCTGGGGACATTTGACATGAGCTTTAAAAGAGTTGTTTTTGTTGAAAGAAAGAGGAAAAATATGAGGAAGAGCCAGTGGGTATTACAAAGGACTCCTGGCTGATCTTCTAGCCCTGAGATATGTGGGGCGTGAGAAATAAAACAGCCTGCAGGTAAGCAGGGTCCTCTGAGGAAACCGGTTAAGGAAGGAGGGCAAGCAAGCATTCAAAGAAGGGCCTAAGGATTTAGAATTGTCGATCACGGATCTAGAGGGTCTATGATCAGTGAAAGAGTCTAAGAGGGAAAGGGGGGGTTCAAGACTGGGTTAAAGGGGTTAATGTAGTGGAATGATTTGATTTCTCCCCAGCCCCTTTCCTGTTGGCACAGCTGTTGCTGTGGGGTGTTTGCCCTCCGTCAAGGATTATCTTCCTTCCAGCCCAGGAATCTCTTGATTGGTCTGTAATCCAATCATTATAACTGTCTTCCCTCTGGCGATGAATAGTTTGAGAAGGCATATATGACGTCATTACCCCAATGAATGGTAGGAAAATTTAGCTGAGATCTTCTACAAAAGGCTTTCCTCTGTTAAAAGAAACCCAGAAGAGGATAGCTGTTCTTGTTTGTACTTGTTTCTCCTGAACATTAGTGTGAATATATGACACCTGAAGCTGTAAGAGCCAACCTGAGACCATGCGGAGAAATTCAGATGTAAAGTAAAGGATGTTATACCCTGCTGCTGTTCCTTTGCACTTCTTCCTTTTTTTTTTTTTTTTTTGAGGAAGATTAGCTCTGAGCTAACATCTGACGCCAAGCCTCCTCTTTTTGCTGAGGAAGACGGACCCTAAGCTAACATCATGCCCATCTTTCTCTATTTGATGTGGGACACCTGCCACAGCATGGCTTGACAAGCAGTGTGTAGGTCTGCAGCCGGGATCCAAACTGGCAAACCCTGGGCCGCCAAAGCGGAACATGTGAACTTAACTGCTGTGCCACTGGGCTGGCCCCTTTTTGCACTTCTGTATTTTGTTTCAGTGGGTTACCTAGAAGATGGGAGGCAAAAGTTCATGGTAAATCCTCCATCAAAAATATTTGTTGTTTTTCCTAGTTGTAAGAATATTATCTGTTCCCTATAGAAAATAAAACAATAATGAATTATATAAAGTAGAAATTGAATAATCCCAGGCTCACTATTTTTCTATGCATGTAAAATAACTTCTGTCTATGAACACTAATAATTTTTTTCAAGTAGTGTAAGATATTAACTATCTGTAACCTGCAGTTTTCATTTAATGAGATAGAAAGGCAAAGCTTCACAGAGAAGATGCTTGAGTCCTAATGGATGATTAAGAGCTTGCAGGTGGGAAAGGGATTGAACAGACATGGTGATAGAGGGAGATTCAGGTAAATAGAATATTATTTATGTGTGAGAGAAGACTTTGTGCAAAGGCTAAAAGGTGGTCATTTCAGTGGAAAAATGCATAGACTAAATGATGTAGAGTGGAGAAGTGTATAAGGAGATGGGTAGGAAATGAAGGTGGAAGGGTGGGTGCATGAAAAAGGGCGCTCTGTGCCATGTTGGAGTGTGAACTTTATAATGCAGGGTAAAGGGAGCTGTAGAAGGATTTTAGGCAACTGAAAAATATGATCAGATGAATGATTTAAAAATATCGCTATTTCTCAAGGTCAGACATCTGTGACTTTCAGATTCTAGCCCCAGCATTTAATAGTTATAAAATTATGAGCAAGTTATTCAACTACTCTCTAATTTCCTCATTTGCAAAATGGGGACAATGGAAGAAGGGTTATGAGAATTAAATGAGAGAACCCATGTGAAAGAACCTGGTCAGGTCCCTGGCATATAGTAAGTTTTCCATAAATGTTCATTTTTCTTTACTGTCGATCTTTTTTGGTTGTCCTGTGGTTGGCTAAAAAACTAATTTACAAAAGTATTGCTCTACTGATCGGGGGAGGGGTTTTGGGAAACTGTTTTGAAATATTATTTATCTCAAGCAAAGTGAATCTCTTTAAGAACTATGTCTGTGAGGTCACTTAAATCCTCCAAATCGTTTACACCCAGAACCAAGAGAATGCTGTCCAAATTTGATTCAACAAACCTGTATTGTAGAATTCCTGGATAACAGGCAGGAAGTAGGCACTAGAGAATATGAAAATAAAAATGCATGGACTTTAACATCAATAAATTAGTAAACAATGGCATACAATATGATAAAAATAGCAGAAGTATTTGTTAAACAGACTGCCCCACTTGGTCTCTGGCAAACATTATGATCTTTTTTTTCAAAATGTCTTCATTTACTGATGAGCAACAAGAAGGAGCACCATTGTATACAGGCATGACATTCTTCCAGGTGTCTTTTCATACCTGGGCCTCTGCTGAGTGTGTGTTTACCATGGCATGTGTTATTTTTGGGGGGAGCAAAATGTGAAAACCGCAGTTACACACAGATATTTAAAAACTGGCATATCTAGAAAGTTGTATCTCTAGCTGGGTTTTTTATATCTCTGATACAGAAACGATAATGCCTAAATGGTGAGTAATGCATCTAGAATAGTTCTTGGGCATATTATCTGAATATAGTCTCTAACTTTAACTCCACTTGTGTTTTATTTTCATTTTAGTTCTTTTACAAAGCTTCCTCATCTGGCAGGAACAGAACAAAATTTACTGCTTGCCAAGAAAATCCAAACCCAGTGGAAGAAATTTGGACTGGATTCAGCCAAGTTGGTTCATTATGATGTTCTCCTATCTTACCCTAATGAGACAAATGCCAACTATATATCAGTCATGGATGAACATGGAGTTGAGGTGGTGTAGAATTGTTGATACTTTTTGTACTTTATAACTCCATTTTTTGTGTGTGAATTAGAATTTAGGGTCAAGTAAAAGTAGAAATTTGTTAATAGTGCAATGGAATTCATAGTTCTTAGAAAAGTTAATAAGTTGCAAATTAATTAATCAGTGTCTACTATGAGTTAGACACAGTGTTAGGTCCTGAGGTCAGAATGAAGACTAGGCCATGGTTCTTCTGCTTAAAAAAGGTGAAACAGACATTGGAACACATCATTTCAAATCAGTATGGTAAGTGCTTTGAAAGATGTGATTAGAGTTCTTTATCTACACAGAAAAGGACCACTCAGTCCAGCCCGGGAGTTAGAGAGGTTTCCTGAAAGGGTTGATATGTGAGTCATGAAAGATCCTAAGAGGTTAACCACATGAAAAAGCAAGGTAGGAGAATTCTAGGCAGAAGAGAAAATAACTGGCAAAGGTTTGGAGACATATACTAGCTTAGTATTGGAGGAACTTAAGGATTTTCTGTATTTCAAAAGTGTAAAATACAAAGTGGGTCATGATAAGAGATAAACCAGTATGTATGTTTTGGGGACAGGTCATAGAAGAACTTATGCGCTGTCCTAAGAGCTCAGAATTCAACTTTAGTCAGTGGAAACATTTGATAAATCCTAAGCAGAGGAAGGATGTGGCTGGAGAGACAGTTTAGGTGGTTGGGGCAGTGTTTAGATTAGACCCAGACTCGGCAAGGAGTTAAAGTTGGAGTCTTAAGACAGTAGTCCAAGTAAAAGATGATGAAGCCCTGATTTAGGATGTTAGCAGGAATGAGGAAGGGCGATGGATTGAAGAAATAGTTAGGAAGCAGTATTAGCAGGACCTGATTAGCGATCAACTGGAGGAAGGAGGTGAAGACAGAATTCAGAATGACTCCTAGGTGTCTGGTGTGGGTGGGTAGCTAGTGCTGCTATTAACAGTGGTAGGGAATGCAGAACCAGAAGTAGGCCTGGGATGAGAGAAGATAAATTCAAATTTTGACATGTTGACTTTGGACATCCAAGATGAAATCACCATCAGGTCCTTAAAATTACAAGTTTGGAAAGCTGAGTTTCATAAGCATGTTAGCTATGGATAAAATTTAGAGAGTCAATGACATCTTGCAGGAAGGGAGTGTAAAATGAGGCAAGCAGTGGGCTGGGAGTAAAACGCAGGAAATGTTACTTAAATGGAGTTGGAAAAAAAAGGGGCTCACAAAGCTGAAAAGGAATAATTGGAAAAGGAGGAGGAGAATCATGAATGCCACTTTTATTTTTTTTTGTTTTTTTTTTTTTTTTTGGAGGAAGATTAGCCCTCAGCTAACTACTGCCAGTCCTCCTCTTTTTGCTGAGGAAGCCTGGCTCTGAGCTAACATCCGTGCCCATCTTCCTCTAGTTTATACGTGGGACGCCTACCACAGCATGGCTGCCAAGCAGTGCCATGTCCGCACCCGGGATCCGAACCAGCGAACCCCGGGCCGCCGAGAAGCGGAACGTGCGAACTTAACCGCTGCGCCACCGGGCCGGCCCCCATGAATGCCACTTTTAAAGCTCTTTTTTAATACTTCTCATGGGAACTTTTAGTTACCTGAGATTGCATGCATTTATGAAGTTTCTACTATTTTGAAGACAGCAATAATGGATAAAGTTCTTTCTCATCGTTGTCAGTGGAATTTACCTGTTTAATTATAGAACCAGTGTTTCAGAATGCTTCATCCTGAGTGTGTGCTTGGGGGCAAAATGCATTATTCTTTAATAACAATCTGGAATATTTCTCTCCAACTTTGTGTGTTTCAATTCTTGCTAGATTTTCAAAACATCATACCTTGAACCGCCACCAGATGGATATGAGAATGTTACAAATATTGTACCGCCATATAACGCTTTCTCAGCCCAAGGCACACCAGAGGTAAAATAAAAGACATTTTTATTCAGTTCTTTAAACGTTTCTTTGTTATATAAAATCTATGTAGAGGACTAAACCAAGGAGATTAGGTGGATCGTACATGCTAATCTATACTTTGAGGTTCAGTGCTATGAACACCCTCTCTAAAATAATTTAAAAAACAAAAAAGAACACCAGAAAAGGGAAAAAGGAAACAAATAAAAATCAGATTCTAATGAAGCAGACGCCACTCTTTGAAATAAGTGCTGAACACGATTTAATTCAGTAAGGGCAATAGAGGTTTTTACAACCTTTTTTCCTTTGTTCATAGTCTGACTTTGTTATAGATTTATTGATCTGATTTTATAGATCACACAACAGAAGTTTTTAAATTAATACTATGGTTGGAAATTAAACAGAGTTGAGATTTTTTAAATGACTTTTATTTTTTCTATTTCCTGTGGCTTAGCATACACTGATACTTTCTTCAAAACAGAACATCCTGTTTAAAATATGTTTAAATATTGTCATTTTTTTTTAACTCTTCAGGATTTTGAAATATTCTCAAAAGACTTCTACACAATTAGCGTGGATCTATTTATTAAGGCAAAACCAGGAAAGATAACTTTTGATAATGCAGTATTGTGGAGCAAACTTATTCTTTGGTTTTCCCTTTAATTCTAGCAATAGTATACATTTTTTTTTCCTTTTTCTTTTCCTTACAGGGAGATCTTATATATGTGAACTATGCTCGAACTGAAGATTTTTTCAAACTGGAAAGAGAGATGAGCATTAACTGCACTGGAAAGATTGTTATTGCAAGATACGGGAAAATCTTCAGAGGAAATAAAGTATTGTGTTATTTGCTTTTCTAGAGAGAAGATAGGATATATCCTGTAAATATAAATGATCAGCTCGCATCACAATTTCCAAAATTGCTTCCAACACATATACAGTCATGTACTGCATAATGATGTTTCGGTCAGTGACAGACCATATGTACAACGGGGGTCCCATGAGATTAGTGCCATATAGCCTGGGTGTGTAGTAGCCTATACTATCTAGGTTTGTGTAAGTACACTCTATGATGTTCACACAATGATGAATTTGCTTAACAATGCGTTTCTCAGAATGCATCCCTGTCATCGTAAATGACTGTATTATGTTGTTTTGCAATTTGCCATCTTTGCACAGAAAATCCTGTATAAAAACATACGTAAAAGTGACCTCACATATCTAGAGAGGGAAATTATTTTTATCACAAAGCAAAGTTTGCTTTTTAAAATTTAATTGAAGGAAATTTTTTATTTTTTTAATTTATTTTATTTATTTTTTGAGGAAGATTAGCCCTTAGCTAACATCTGCTGCCAGTCCTCCTCTTTTTGCTGAGGAAGACTGGCCCTGAGCTAACATCCGTGCCCATCTTCCTCCGCTTTATGTGTGGGATGCCTGCCACAACATGGCTTGACAAGCAGTGCCATGTCCTCACCTGGGATCTGAACCGGCAAACCCCAGGCCGCCAAAGTGGAACATGCGAACTTAACCGCTGCGCCACCGGGCTGGCCCCTGAAGGAAATTTATATAAACTAAAAAATGAAAAACTTCCCTGCCTTACCCAACTCATTTCCCAGACATAATCAATCTTAACAGCTCTTTCCAGACCTAATTCTGTGAAATATTAGTATAAATATATCTATTTCTATATATTCATTTTACACCTTATTTTTTTTACAAAGAGTGGTCATACCCTGTATATTGTTTAACTTTATGTTTTTCACTCAGCAGTAACTTATTGGTATTCCTCCATAACAACACGTTGAGAGTTGTGTAATGTAGTGGTAAAGAGTATAGGACTGTAGACCCATACAACCTGCGGTCTTGTCTAGTCTGGGCTCCCTATTCTCTAGATTTTTTTACCATGAGCAAGTTATTTAACCTCTCTGTGCCAGTATTTCCTCATGTATAAAATGGGAATGCTAACAATAGCACTAATCTCATAGAACCCTCATTAGGGTTAAATGACTTTATATTTGAAAGCACTTAGGAGAGTGACTGGTACTTAGTAATTTCTGTATAACTGCTTATTAAGTAAATACCTCATTATTTTAGATGGCTGCATAGTATTTCGCAGAATTGACAAGCAATTTATTTAACAATTCCTCTTGACAGATACTTGTCTTAAATTTGTTACTGTTACAAATAATTCCATTGTGAACAACTTTGTCCGTATGTACTTAACTTTCTGTGTGAAGATTTTTATAGTATAGATTCCTAGTAGTTGAATGGCTGAACCGTAGTGTATGTTATTTCAAAATTTTGATAGGTGTCATCAAATTGCCCCTCAAAAAAGTTGTGACACATTGCACTCCCATTAATATTATGAGTGCTTTCTGAATATTGGAATGTGTTTTTAGTTTATTAAGATGATGGTCATCTGTCTTTTGCTATAATACTTCTGGTAATGAAGAATTCAGTATCTTACAGGGTAGATTTCCCTATTCGTGGTCAGTTTGGGTTGCTAGAAAAATATTTACAATAACACTCAGGGCAATTTTTTACACACTATCACTGTTCTGCGTAGAATTTTAAATTAGTTTAGTTCCACAAATATTTGTAGAGTGCTCACTATATGATGTGCCAGATTTTGGAGGGTGGATAGTTAAAAGTGGATAAGACATGGTCCCAGTTCTCAAAAACACCCCCAGTCTAGTAGGGGAGAAAGACATTTAAAAGATACTTTAAAACACTATGACCCATCTTGTGATAAAAATATATACAAAATATAGACGTACAAAGAAGGGAGATGTTAACTTTGCAGTTTTGGGGACCATAGGAATGTTTCACAGAAGATGCACTTGTTTAGAGTTGTACAGAATAAATTAGAGTTGTTAGGTCTACCAAGAGAAATTGTATTCAAGGCAAAGAGAACTGAATGTGATAACAGCAAGATAAAAAGCAGTGTCTAAATTTTCTTATATTATTAAATTGATTTTCTCTAAGATGAATAAGTCAATCACCTGTCTCTTCTACATTATGGATTGTACATTGCCCCTGCAGGTTAAAAATGCCATGTTAGCAGGGGCCATAGGAATCATCTTGTACTCAGATCCAGCTGACTACTTTGCCCTGGGGTACAGCGTATCCTAAAGGATGGAATCTTCCTGGCACTGCAGCCCAGAGAGGGAATGTGTTAAATTTGAATGGTGCTGGTGATCCCCTCACTCCAGGCTATCCAGCTAAAGGTAATGGATGAGCCCATCATGGTCCACCCAGTTTTGCAAAATACTACTGCCCTTATAGAAGACATAAAAGCAAACATCTACAGAATAATGTTAAAACTAAAATTGTGTGCAGTTATAGTATTTTGGGTTACTATTTGTAGGAATTCAAAAACATTTCCTTTGTATGATTTTAGTTTTAAATTTTCACTAGCTGTGGATGTGGAGAAGGGAGAGTCCGTAGACTTCTCTCTCTACCTTTAGTAGGTACAGTTCAGAAACACAGATCCTCAAACCCAAAGTAGTATCACTCTTACCAAACTAAAACTTAGGTCTTTTGAAATGGCTAGTGATTTTATTCTTCTCTAGATGATATACATTGTATTTTTAAAAATACCAATGAGTTTTTAGTGTTATTTAATATGTAAAATGTGCAAAGTTTTGAAATTTGTGTATCCATTTCTAGAATCAAGGTAATGAACATATCCATTAGCCTCAAAAAGTTTCCTTTCATTTGCTTTGCAAACTCTTTCCTCCCAACTCTCCCTGTCCTCTCCCTGGCAATCCCTAGGCAGCCACTGACATGCTTTCTGTCAGCATAATTATTTTGAGATCCATTCATGTTGGCGTCTCTGTCAGTAGTTCATCCTTTTTTTTTGTTGAGTAATGTTCCACTGAATGGATATACTACAGTTTGTTTATTCACATACTTGTTGATGGACATTTGGATTGTTTTCATATTGGGGGCTATTACACATAAAGCTGCTATGAATAGTTGTATTCAAGTCTTTGTGTGTGTGTATGCTTTTATTTCTCTTGAGTAAATACATAGAAATGGAATGGCTGGATAATAATGTATGTTTTCACTTTTTGAGAAATTTTCAAATTGTTTTCCAAAGTGATTGTACCATTTTACATTCTTGCAGCAGTGTATGACTATTCTAGTTCCTACATCCTTGCCAACACTTAGTATGGTCAATCTTTTTAACTTTACATTCTAATAGATATGTGAAGTCTTTCAAGTTACAATTCTTTTTCAAAGTTTTTGTGGCTATTCTAGGTCCTTTCTATGTAAATTTTAGAACCAGCTTATCAATTTCCACTAAAAAGCCTCCTGGAAGTTTGATTGAGATTGAATTAAATCTGTCGATCAGTTTGGGGAGAATTGACATCTTAAAAAATATTGAATCTTCTGATCCATGAACATAGTACAACTCTCCATTTGCTTAGGTATTCGTTAATTTCCCTCAGCATGTTTGTAGTTTCACTGTAGAGATCATACACATCTTTTTTTCACATTTATCCATGAGCATTTTCACAGTTTTATGCTATTTTAAATTTCAGTTTCCAATTGTTCATTGCTAGTAAATAGAAATATTATTGTATTTCTAGAAGAAGTACATTGATCTTATATCCTGCAAACTTGTGAAACTCACTAAATAGTTCTACTAGGTTTTTGTAGATTCCATTGGAGTTTTTACATAGATCATGTCATCTGCCATAGTAAAGAAATTCCTTCATACTCCTTGCTCAGATTCTTCAGTTGTTTTCATTTTGTGCAATTGATTTTTGCAGAGTACACCTTTAGACTTGATGTTGAAGAAGGAGTGGGAATCCCCAAAATCCCTGTGCATCCCATTGGATATAATGATGCCGAAATATTATTACGGTACAGTTTCCTAATCAGATATGAGGTTAAGATATTTTGCACTAATGTGTCCATTTTCTTATCTAAAACCATTGTAACCTAATTATGTTAAAAACTAGAGTCTTGTTGTATACCTGAAACTAATATAATGTTATATGTCAGTTATACTTCAATAAAAAACAATTAAGAATAAAAATAAAGGAAACAAAATAGGAAAATGAGAGTTAAAGAAAAAGTAAAGTCTTTTATCAAAGTAGCTCCTGAAGTAGAAATAACAAAGTACACTTTCTTTTTATTCCATAAGAGAAGAGCAGTCAGTATAGTGACTAAGAAATAGTAAGAAAACATTACTCTGCTACAAATGAAAGTCTCAAATGCAAAACTATGTCCAAAGATAAAACTGCTGATTTCAGATTTTTCAAGTGCAGTCATATGCCACTTAATGATGGGGGATACATTCTGAGAAATGTGTCATTAGGCAATTTCATCATTGTGTGAACATCATAGAGTGTACTTACATTCCACAAACCTAGATTGTATAGCCTACTACACACATAGGCTATATGTTACTAATGTTGTGGGACCACCATTGTATATGCAGTCCATTGTTGACCAAAATGTTATGTGGCGCATGACTGTAGTTGGATTTTCTTATATATTCGTTTGATATTTATGCTTGCATTTTAGAAATAGGATAATGCCCACCACTTACTAGACGTGTGAACTTGGACCAGTTACTTAGTCTTTCTCTGATTCACTTTCCTTATCTGTACAATGAGGACAGTAATAGTTTCTCCCTGATAGGGTTATTATGAGAAGTAATGAGATCTATGTAAGTATATGAGGTATCTAGAATATAGTAAACATTCAATTAATGTTTGTTATTATTGTATTTTGTAACTGATGTTTCTTTACAAATCGCCAAACTTCTATTTTTTAAATGTCTGTAACAGTACAATTTGATAATTACTTTATGAGTGCCTACTGTGTAGTGAGCAGCTTCTCTAGAAATTTCTCTAGAAATTTCTTCTCCTTAAGTCACGAATTTCCTATTTTCAGGATTTCTTGGACCTAATACTTCCTTATATAAATAATTGAAGTCAAAAGTAAGGGGGCTGATACTTCCCACACTATTTTGGTTGTTTTCTCTTAGCTCTTATCACTAACGTAAAAATATTTTACATATTTATCTCAGTTATGGTTCTTCCATTAAAATGGAAGCTCCACAAGGGAAGAGAATTTTGAGAGTACCTGGCACTTAGTAAATGCTCAATAAATATTTGTTAAATATATGAATGAAATATCTTATCATCAGACTTCATGATTTCTTCTAAGAAATTGTGATGCCCAGCCTTTTGCTGTCATTTTCATTTTCTCTTCACAGCCATATAGGAGGAAGCGCTCCACCAGATGAGAGCTGGAAGGGGAGTCTTAATGTGGATTACAATATCGGGCCTGGCTTCACAGGGCATGATTCTTTCCGGTAATTTTACATTACTTTAATAGTCTGGAAAAGTTTTATACGTTTAGTGGAAAAATGTCAAGATGACTGTTTTGCCAGGTATATTTTGCTTATCTTCTTTTTCTCATTTCTCGTAGTGAACCAGTGATCGTTTTATATCACTGAAGAAGTGCTTATAGAATGATGTATCGAATTCTTCTTCCAGTAGAGATATCACAACATTTGTTTCATAAAGTCTCAAACGTTACTACTTTTGAGTTATAGGTTTAACGTTTTAACTTCCCTTTTCATCGAAGTTTTAGAAGTTTTTCAGATAACTTTCAAAATGCTACACGTGTGAACAAATAGGTTAACTCAAGGGAAGGAGTGAAAGAGAAGAGGGAAAGGAACTGACGTTTATTGAGCACTTACTGTGTGGTTAGATGAGTTAAAATGGGGAAGTACATGACTGTGGTAAGGCTCAATACACGTATCGTTTTAATCGTTGTTATTAACACCTTATAGCACTGTTGTAGTGGAGGAGTGATCACGAAATATGTGTTTATTGAGCTTAATGTTACCGAAAGAGTAAGTTTTCCATTGGATCAAGGCAGCCAGGAGATGCCAGTGAGAGAGCTCAGCTTGTACAGAGCTGTGAAACAGCATGGCGTGATCAGAACCTGACGTAGTTTGATTTACCTGAAATGTAAAGGGAACGGGGAATTTAACACTGATAAGTCAGAGAAGATAATATCTGGTCTTATTAAACCAAAATTACGAAATCGATCTTGTTTGCTAACAATTTACCTTAACAATGTGAACTTGGATTCTTACAGTGTTTTTTAGTTTCTATAAGAATTTTTATCTCAGAACTTTTAAAGTATTTGAAGTTCAGTTTTCTTATTTTATAGGAATTTTAGAAATTTTTTTAATATAGTGCTTATTTATCTTTCTAACTCAATCAGAACAGAGTCCCTTTGCTATAAGAGATTTTATTACTAATTTATTACCTTCCAGTGGTAGAAAAACATAACTAGGTAAGATAAAGGGCTTTCTGATTTACAGACAGAAACATACAGACAAAGAAAGAACAGAAAACATATAGCTTCAGTTCTGCAATTTCAGGCTCAGCTCGAGAGTAAACTCAGAAACATAAAAATTCCCTGGTCAAGATATCGAAAAACTGTTCTTCTTTTCCATGGGCACAAAACCGAATTTGAGCTTAAAATGGACAAAATCACAAATTTGAAAAAATTGCTAAAAACCAGATTTTGTCATTTCTCACTCAAAAGAGATCTTGATAATCTATTAATCCATTTAGAGATTACCAAATGACAAGATATGAAACCAAATTCCTAAGCATTGCTGTTACCAACGGGGAATAGTTTATCTGCTACAGGCAAAATAGAAACATAAACAAAACACAAAATCAGTAGAGAAAAATTAAGTTAGAGATAGAATCATCAAAGTTAAACTTCCGTTGCTGCTTGGGATTTACTTCTGAGAGCGCAAGGAAGACATGTCTGGGTTAAGCTGCCCATAGCTGATTCTGCAAGATGGATGATAAAGGATGACTTCTTTTTTTAAAGTAAAACCATAATTCTCATACAAACATAAAATGAACATGTCAGAAATTTTATTTAATTCATTAATTAATAAGGGAACCAGAAAGGAGGTAAAACTGGTTCATTCAGGGAAATTCAAAGATGATAAAAAAGATCAGCTCATCAGGAATGCTGAAATGAGTGCACTTTGTAGCAGAAAACCCAATTTTTTCCACATTGGGAGGAGAGAAGTCATTTGCTTGTTCACTAGACAGATTGAGTGTTTCGGTGGACGTGAGTTATTTCTGTTACTATCATGTTCTTACAAGTTACCTTCTGTTTCCACAGAGTTCTAAAATACTCTAGTCAAAGACAATGATAGGCAGAGGGAACTCTGATGGGTGAGCTGAGGTCTGCCTCTGTTTTTCCTTCCAGGAGTATATTCATTCGTTTTACAAATATTTATTGAACATTTTCTGTACCCCAGGGCACCATTCTGGGTGCAGGGGATTCAGCAGTGAACAAAACAGGCAAAAATCTCTGCCCCCTGGAGCCTGCATTCAGAGCGCAGTTTATCTGGAACATGATGAGTTTGAAGTGATGAGGACAAATAGACCTTCTTTTAGGTTCTTCTGGAGTCAAAGACACTAAAAACTACAGAGACATAGGACTAAAGATGTGGATGAACTTCTTTGAGAGTCTGAGCAGATAGCCTATGTTTATTTTCATGTCAGTGAAAATATCAGTGAATTCAGGTTTCTTACTAATAGATCTTAGGCTCACATTTTTAGAAACACATGCTAAACAATGTTTCTGCTTTTCTGCTATTAATTTTTCTCTCTCAGGAACAAAAATAAATCCTTTACTTAATGTCTTAAAATGGAGAAAACACTCACTGATTACTTTTCCTCCAAAAGCACTTTTAGTTGAATATTGCACATGAATTAAATATGCATTCAGGAGCACAGTACACTTTTGAAGGGGAAAACCAGCATCTGCACTTAACAATGTACTACAAATGTTTTGACACCTCGTTAGTTCTTCCATGCAAACATGAACCACAAATTAGAAACTGTTGGGACTCCCCCCACCCGCCACTGCAGATAAAGACTTTTGTGCCGTTGTGAAAAAGAGACTTGGCATTTTCCCATGTCATTTTGGATTCCTAAAATGTGAATGGCATTTTTTTCTGTTGGTCTGAGTTTAATTGTATTTTCCCTTGAATTCTAATTTGGTTAATTGTAATTCATGAATGAATATTTACAAGGCTGGCCCAAATCAGAATGAACAGTGAGGGCCTGGAAAAGTTTTATTATATAGTTGTCTTGTACATTTTAGCAGGCGCTCCCCAAATTCCCATTTAACAATAAAATTTATCCTGTTTCTTATAGGCAGCCCTCAGCCAGCTCTTTAACAATGGCCTGATATACTACTTCAGTAATCTTGAAGAAAGTTACTGATTAGCAGGAATTAATGTAAATACAAAGACACATTAAAAGATAGGCTTATTTGGGGCCGGCCTGATGGTGTAATGGTTAAGTTTGTGTGCTCTGATTTGGGGGCCCGGGGTTCACAGGTTTGGATCCCAGGCATGGACCTAGCACCACTCATCAAGCCACACTGTGGCAGCATCCCACATAAGACAGAGGACGATTGGCAACAGATGCTAGCTCAGAGCCAATCTTTTTTTTTTTTTTTTTTTTTGAGGAAGACTAGCCCTGAGCTAACTACTGCCAGTCCTCCTCTTTTTTGCTGAGGAAGCCTGGCCCTGAGCTAACATCCGTGCCCATCTTCCTCTACTTTTTTTTATATGTGGGACGCCTACCACAGCATGGCGTGCCAAATAGTGCCATGTCCACACCCGGGATCCGAACCGGCGAACCCCGGGCTGCTGAGAAACGGAACGTGCGAACTTAACTGCTGCGCCACTGGGCCTCAGGGCCAGTCTTCTTCACCAAAAAAAAAAGAGGGTGACCTATTTGTCCTTTAATACTTAATGGGCTTTCTTTATTTTTGTAATTAAGTACGGTGTATTTAAAAATTTTAGAATGAATACCCAAGACATGTTGAATAATAGAATATTTTAAATTTTAAATAAATATCCATAATATAGGTATGAGAGGGGAGGAGTATAAAATACTGACCTTCAGTTTTTAGAATTTGACTTTAAGGTACATGTTTAAGTACTTAGGAGTAAAATTTTATGATGTCTGCAACTTACTTGCAAATGGTTCAACAATATTAACAATTATAATTTAGGTAGTAGATATATGGAAGTTCGTTGGTCTATTATAGAGTTTTCTGTACTTTTGAGATTTTTCATAATAAAATGTTGAAAGAAAGCTGTTAGACACAATGCTCTATGTGAAATAATTTATTCCCTTTGAAATTCTAGGAAGGTTAGAATGCATGTTCATAACACCAATAAAATTACGAGAATTTACAATGTAATTGGAACCATCAGAGGATCTGTGGAACCTGGTGAGTCAGTGAACTGTTTTTAAACATTTGTTTTTACAAAGATTAAGAGAGTAAGAGAAGATAAATTGTAGTCAACAAGTGATTTTTCTTCTGGTTGCTGTGAAACAACAAAATTTGAAAAAAAAAATTATACAACTCTAAAAGAAAACTCTACCTTATAGTGTTGATTTTTTTTCTATGGAGGAAATTCAAGTAGGAGGAAGTTTATTTTAAAAACATAAATTACAACTATTTATGATGCGTTCAGAATTGTGGTTCTTTGGAGCACGTTCTTTTCCAGACAGGTATGTTATTCTGGGAGGTCATCGGGACTCCTGGGTGTTTGGAGCTATTGACCCAACCAGTGGGACTGCTGTTTTGCAAGAAATTGTCCAGAGTTTTGGAAAACTGATGAGTAAAGGTAAATAATGTTTCTTTGCTAGGAGATGACAAAAAGTGCCTCATTTAATTGTCCTTTATTTGTAGGCAGGTGTACCTAACTCTGTATGTTAACCATGATTACAGGCTGGAAACCTAGAAGGACTATTATTTTTGCCAGCTGGGATGCAGAAGAATTTGGACTGCTGGGTTCCACAGAATGGGCTGAGGTAAACAGGACAGGAGACATTCTTATTTTCCTGATCAACAGGAAACGACTCTGTGTATCTCAGGATGATCACAAATAGATTCGGTTACCGAATATGGTTTTAATTTGGAGAAAGACTCCAAAGAAGTTAAGAAATAGAGTTTGTTTTTACTTTCATATCAGTTTGGCAAAACAGAATAACGTCTTAATTACTGGACTACAAACATTATTGTCAAAATATTTTCGTTGCTGTTTGTATTTGTTTTGTGAAAAGTAAAATCTGTAAGCTCAGAGAACAGTCAAAACTAGCAAGCTGTTTCTGACAAGTCAGTCAACGTATCTGAAAACGGATACAGATCCTTGGAGTTAATTGTCAAGTTTTGGAAGTTTCCTTGGCGTTCTTCTATCTAAGAAAACATAAGATGTTCTACTAAGATGTCTATACCCTGATGATATTCATGTTTACAGATTCCGTTTTAAATTGCAATCACTAGGCATATTTTACCATTCACAAAGATAAGGACCTGATTGTTGAGTATAAGACGATAATTTTGTAAATTGATTTACTTTAGTGAATTGCCTTATTTTACAATTTAAGAGATTTATTTTTTTCTTCAGATGCGATTGATTTTCATTTGTCACTGGCTCTTAATGCTTTATCTTTAAGTGTCTCTCCTAGGCCCCTTTCTTTCATCTTCTTCCCTTAGCCTCTCTGTCGAGTAACTCTAAGTTCTTAAATGTACCAGGTAAGATTATACATTTTTATAAAGGCAGGTGTGCCGTATAGCACTTACTCTCTCTCCACTATCCTCTATTTATCTTTTATAAGTCCAGATTTTATAGAATTGTTTTAAAGCATGTCACACATTTTTACCATTGTGTCTAATTTTTAAAATGCTTTCCTCTTGACTCATTTCCTCTTACTTTACTGTAAAATAATAATATGAATCAAATGAATATGGGGGTAAAAATCACACACACAGTTACTTGTCTGATATCACTTATTGTTTGATTCCATTTACATTGCAGACTTTTATTATTATGTTGGTATCATGAATATGCGTTTTGGAAGTAGACTGTTTAGATGCATCAAATTTCATTAAGGTCATTTACTTTTAGAAATATGTAATTTCTTATGGATACATGTATAAATACATGTCTCTATCTGTAATTTCCACAGCTTAAAATAAATATCAAAGACATCTAAAATCTAAAATAATAAATATGCTTTGCATTAATTTAAATACATGTGGGTTAAAAAACAATTTCAACACTGTTTCCAGTTTTCTGCTAGATTCTTGATCATATTCAGCAGCATACTTACCTTCTTTAAATATAGTTGAGGAATCTTCTTTATTTCTACTGTAAATCTGTTGTAATGGAAACTCTAAATTTATCTATAGCAGAGACAACTGTCATCTGGTCTGTGTAGGCAAGTGCAGACAGGCAGAAGTCCTCATTTGCGTCATAACCACCCGCAGCTTTAAATGTTTTTATTACAAGCTGTTCTTATAAGATAGCAAGCTAGAGAGAGAGAGAAGTGAAGTATAATTTCAGCATATTCCCAGCTGTGTGTCATGACATTAGTCTTTCTCTGTTTTTATCTTGGATCTCTGTGGGGTGGGGGTGGGGTTGAGAGAGAGAGAAAGAGACAGAGAATCTTATCTTTGTCCTTTCTTCTTTTTTTTTTTTGAGGAAAATTAGCCCTGAGCTAACTACTGCCAGTCCTCCCCTTTTTGCTGTGGAAGCCTGGCCCTGAGCTAAGAACCAAGCCCATCTTCCTCTACTTTATATGTGGGACGCCTGCCACAGCCTGGCATGCCAAGCGGTGCCATGGCCGCACCCGGGATCCGAACCTGCGAACCCCGGGCCGCTGAGAAGCGGAACGTGTAGACTTAACTGCTGCGCCACTGGGCTGGCCCCCTCCTTATCTTTGTCCTAATGTCCTGCCTTCTCTCCTTCTAGGTTTTCTCTATCCTCTTCTTTTTTTGTTGTTTTTCTTCATCAAATCTTCTCTTTAAAAGAAATATAGATAAATGGAAATTTTCTATTTCTCACTTTTAAGATGATAAACTTATTTGGGTATCCAATCTCAGTGGATCTCAAACTACAATGTATGTAAGGATTTCCAGGGATATCTTTGAGAAAATAAAGGTTTCCAGGCCTTACTTTCAGCAATTCTTATTCAGTAGATCTGGGTTGGGGCCCAGAATCTGGGAGCCTCACTCCTTCATATTCTGGTGCAGGAAATCGAGCAACCACACTTTGAATACTTTTTCTCTGGGGTTCCCAGCCATTGCCATAAACAGTAGCTCCAGCATCATAGAACTGTTTTAATTGCATGAATGTTGTCATCAACCAACCAGTCATAAGCATTGTCTCAAAAATAGGTGTTGGATTCATAAAGTTATTTGAAGACCCTTTTATAATAAATTAATTTGCTCATTTTGTTTACATTTCCACAATTGTAAATACTGTGAATTAAGTAACAACTTTGCTTCAACTATAGGAGAATGCGAAAACACTCCAGGAGAGAAGCATTGCTTATATCAACTCAGATTCATCTATAGAAGGTAAATTTTATTTCAGGTTTTTATTAAACCATGTACCATTTTTTAAGTCTGTAAGTTCCAACTTGTAAAGTATCTAAGATTATTCTCTTCCTGTGAGATACCTCAATAATACTTTCACTTTCACAGAGAAAATCATTATGATTCAAGTGAATCAATGTATTTTATAACTAAGCTATTGATCTTAAATTCTTTGGTATATTTATCATTGCCTATCTTGGATTACTACTTAAAACTTCAGTATTAATCACATTCTTCCTGTGGAGATATTAAAAGAATTTGGCTAAAATATTTCAGAAGAAATATTTCACAGAATTTTTCATACAGAAGTATTTATTGTATATATTGGAACCAATTTGAAGTAAGCACAAACTACAGACTTCTTTTGAACTTGACATGTGACGTTTGTGTCTCTAAGCTTTCATCATATTATGATTATTTCTAGGTAAGTGTCAGAGCATACTTACTAATGACTGGCATGCTCTAGCCTAATGTCTTGATATATACTGTTGAATTGAGTGAATGAGAAATGAATGTTGTAGCCTTTCCACTTCCTTTGCTAAAGGCCTTCTAAGAAATAAAGTCTTAAGAATACCCTTATGATTACTGTGGGAGCTGCTGCCTTAGCAGCCAAAGTCCATGTATACCTTCTTCTGTCCGAAGTGTGTACGGTGGCCTCTCTCTTTCCTGAAGAACCATTTCCACCCTATTTTTTTTGAGGAAGATTAGCCCAGAGCTAACATCTGCTACCAATCCTCCTCTTTTTGCTGAGGAAGACTGGCCCTGAGCTAACATCTGTGCCCATCTTCCTCTACTTTATATGTGGGACACCTACCACAGCATGGCGTGCCAAGCAGTGCAATGTCTGCACTCAGGATCTGAACCGGCAAACCGCGGGCCACCAAAGCAGAATGTGTGCACTTAACCACTGTGTCACTGGACCAGCCCCTCCACCCTATTTTTAATTCCCTGGGAATGATGCCTTAGATGCCTTGAAGTCTCTTATATCTTGTTCATAATTAGAAAACAAAATTACAATTAAACATAGATTGGAATTTCATTTGGAAGTATTAAAATACTCTGTGTTTTATTTATTTTCAGGCAATTATACTCTGAGAGTTGACTGTACGCCCCTTCTTTACCAATTAGTATATCAACTGACAAAAGAGGTATGTAAGTAGATCTGTCTTAATGTTTTCTGATCAATGGATAAGTGAATAACAACACTTCTTTTCTTAATTAGTCGTACTTATTTTTAAACTAGTGACAGACATGGTTGATTTATATAAATAACAAGTCAGAACAAAATCTTTAATACACTATTTATGTGACATAACTAGGAAGATAATTTTGCTAGTTTCTCAGTTCTAATAATAGTTCTTACTAAACATTGTGTACATTCTTGTAATGTACAGGGTATATAATTTCATCTGGCAGAGGTATTTTGATATAACAGAAAGAACACTGAGCTAGAATAGAAAAGCCTTGGGTTCAAAGATTGCCTTGGCTATACCTTCATTCATTCAGCAAATATTTACTGAGTGGTTACTATGTATCAGTACCTATAAAATGAATTCTAGCAGCAACGATGATGAAAGGTCAAGATCACTGAATCCAAATGCCTGTAATCTAGAAAGGATACAGACCTGTAAATGAGGAATTTTAGTTCACTAGAATGTTCAATACCATATACAATGGAGAACAATTATGGAATAGAGAACCTAAAATCCTATGGTATCTTGGGAAGTTGGGAGGCATCAAAGGATGTTTACAGTATAATTAATGCTTGGGCTGTAAAATGGAAAGATGTGAAAGTAAGGGAGAAGGCATTCTCAGCAGAGGACACAGTATCTAAAAAAGATGTGGAGGTATCAAAGAACATATTTCCTGACCTGCAGGTAGCTCAGTGTGACCTAAGCATAAGGTGTTGGTGGAAAGATGATAAGAAATGGAGCATGACATATAGGCCAAGGAGTTCAGAAACCTGGTGATGGAGAAATTAAGTAATCTTTAGTAAGGTTGTATATTATCATATTGCTCATTAGAAAGATCACTGTGTATCTGTGTAGTGAAGAGATGAAGCTGTAGCAAGTCTAAAAAGCAAAATGGAAATAGTTCCACATGCTTACTTATCACACAGGAATTTTATAAATATTAGTTATTGATAGAAAAAGTTCTCTGAAAACTAATGCGTTCTGAATCTCTAATAATTATATAATCTATTCATTTAATATCTGTGTACTTCATTTAAATAGTTCCCTGTTACAGAGTTTAATTTTAGAAACGTTTCTTTCACGTAGGTGTCACTTGGATGACAATGGGAAGTAGGTATCACTTTTCTGTGGGTACTGTTTCTCAGTCTCCCTTCATCTTGCCCTTTCCTTTTTACTGTTAGTGTGTTCAAAAACTATTTCTCCCAATAACAGTCCTCTCATTATTCCCATCACAACTCTCTCACCATATTCGGTAGCTTATGTCCGTGATCCTTTCATTGGAATGTCCCATAAAAATGTCTTATCTAGAAGCAAGCTGTAAAGAAAATCCTCTTTGGAGAAGCCTTCTCAAGATATGCTTGTATGCTTTGTGCTGTCCTGCAGAGATGGCTCCTGCCTTTGATGTCAGGGCCAATAAGGGAGGGAGAAGTTTAGGTCTATGCCCTATTGTACAAAGGCAGATGCTTATCTATGGCCATACCAAAACCCAGCAGAAAAAGAAGAGTTTTTTTTCTTCTATGAACTGGTTATTACAATTTTATCAACCCCTAGTGTGTGTTGGCACAAACAGTCAAACTATACTGGTGGCATGAGAGTATGGTGTGGGTGGCGGAGAAGGGCTGAGCTTAGAGAGAAGGGCAGCTGCCTAATAGAAACAAGAAATGGGACAAGGAGTTGATATAATGGTGGAGGGCCAGCAATTATGACAATACATATAGATGAAACAGAAAATTCTGATCTAGGGTGTACAGGCTACAGGGACACGGGTCTGATTAGCACTCGACCGAGTTGTGTGATTCCAGGAAGTGAAGATTCTCGGGGAATTCAATCTGAGCAGGAAGTAGGGATTAGAGCAGGATCTTAGATATTGCAAATTGGCAGGAGCAGAGTAGGGAGTGGAACCCAGTCAGCTGGCTGGAAACGAGCAGAACGTCCCTGCAGTAGCAATTTGGTGGCGGGGAAGGGGATGACTCTGGAGTGCCAAGACTATTTGTACAAGCTGAAGACCTCATGTGTGATGATGAGGGAATAACCAATTCTGTATAAAAGCCAGAGCAGATGATGGGTTGAGTGGGTACTGTTATCCCAGTTTCCACAGGTCAGAAACTAGAGTTTAAAGAGGAGAAGCAATACACCAAAGGTTATAACACTTTCACAGTTGCATAAGTAGGGTCTGCCTTGGGTCCACTTTTGAACAAAGCAGCGCTGTAAACAAACAAATAAAATTCAACCAATATGTGTGATAACATGGATCTAAAATAGACATGTTAGACTCCATGGCCAAAATTTTTCCACCACATGGCCCTGCTTTTCTTAGAATGGAGAAAGAAAAGGAAAGTATAAGTTTCTAAGTGTACTTTGAGGTTAATAAAAAATGTTTGTGTATACACGGAAGTTCTTAAAATTCCCACACAGAAATCTAAGGTTATATAGGGTTTTTTGGACCTATCAAATTCCAACTTTGTTTAAATATAATTAGCCTTATGAAACCAGGACTTATGTTGACTATTTCAAGTTCAGCCTTTTAACTTCTATCTGCTGCCCTGAGGCATCTTTATTGGTCTTGGACAAAAGCAATTTACTAAAGTAAGTGTTATATCTAAAGTTTCCCCCCAATGACTTCCCACTAAAAGCCAAGCTGCCAAACATTAAAGTGACATTTGTTAAAAATCTGAAACCCTATTAAAGTTGACCAAAATAGGCAGGAAATTTTTCCTAGGTACATGGCAAAATTACTAACATGCAGGCATCATAAATGAACTAGAATTTGGTTGGGATTTTTTTCTTGCCATTTGCAAAAGCATATTTTTCTATAAAGAGGATGATATACGAATATACATACAGTAGTACCCCCTTAGCCGTGGTTTTGCTTTCTTTGGTTTTAGTCACCTGCGGTCTGAAAATATTAAATGGAAAATTCCAGAAATAAACAATTCATAAATTTTAAATTGTATGCCTTTCTGAGAAGTGTGATGAAATATGCCATCCTGCTTCATTCCTCTCGAGATGGGAATTAGCCCTTTGTCCAGCACATCCACACTACACACACTCCCTACCTGTTAGTCACTCAGTCGCTGTCTCAATTATCAGATGGACTGTCGAGGTATCGTAGTGCTTGTGTCCGAGTAACCCTTATTTTACTTAATAAAGGCCTGGGAGTGTAAGAGTAGTGATGCTGGCAATTTGCATATGCCAAAGAGAAACCATAAAGTGCTTCCTTTAGGTGAAAAGGTGAAAGTTCTCTACTTAATAAGGAAAGAAAAGAAATTGTATGCTGAGGTTGCTAAGATCTACAATAGGAACGAATCTTCTATCCATGAAATTGTGAAGATGGAAAAAGAAACTTGTGCTAGTTTTGCTGTCACACCTCAAATATGTGTATATAGGGAAAAGCATAGTCTGTAGGGTTCTGTACTATCTGAGGTTTCAGGCATCTGCTGGGGGTCTTGGAACATCTCCCTCGTGGTAAGGGGGTACTACTGTATAGGCAGATAGAAGTAGAAGTTGATGTGAACTGACATGTGGTTTTATTTTATTTATTTATTTTATTTATTGGCATAAACTTAGTTGCTTCTGCCTCTAATGCCCAATATTTGATTTATCTTTCCAGATCTCCAGCCCCGATGATGGTTTTGAGAATAAATCTCTTTATGAAAGCTGGTTGGAAAAGGACCCTTCGTCTGAAAATAAAAATTTTCCTAGGTAAATTACTTGTATGTATATTTTCTACCATGGGATAAATTATAAATTCTCCTTTGCCCCTTGTTTCTCCAGACATGCAATTCTTAGATGTCTTGTCAACAATTTGAGTGGAGAAAAGATAATTCCAAAGGATCCCTCTGTGCAGCCTTCAATTTTCTGATCAGCCAGGACAGCCAAGTTTTTTAACCTAGAATAGAACAGATAGATGTTTTGCAAATTTTTAGTCAAAATTATTTTGCCACTTTATTAGGCATTATTTTGCCTTCTTGCTTAAAATTTCATTCAGATGTGTAATAAATGCATTAATAAATAACTTCAAATAATAAAGTAAAAATGGATTATTTGTGGGGCCGGCCCAGTGGGAGAGCGGTTAAATTCACACGTTCTGCTTTGGCGGCCCATGGTTCGCCAGTTCGGATCCTGGGTGCGGACATGGCACCTCTCATCAAGCCATGCTGTGGCAGGTGCCCTACATAGACAGCAGAGGGAGATGGGCATGGATGTTAGCTCAGGGCTAATCTTCCTCAACAAAGAAAGAAACAAACAAAAACAATGGATAAATATTTGCTTTTAAATTTAGTAAAGGGCATCATCAATAACCACCAAATTGTTTCTTTACCTGTTATCAATTTAGATTTTATCTAAGTATTTATTTTTTACTTATTCATACAATAGCAACTTTCTTGTGTTTATATTTATTTGTTTTCTACTGCGATACTATTTCTAAAACCAGCAGATGGTAGTTTATAGCTTCATTCTATATTCCAAATAAGTCTTGTGGAAGTTTAAATGTGTTTTCATTATAAAAGTTCCACATACTTGTTCAAGAAAAAAGTAGAAAAAGTATTTTAAAAACATCCAAGGCCTCAATCTCAAAAATGTATCTAATAATTTGAAAGTATACAATTGTGTTCTTAATGCATATGTCATTTTATATTCTGCTTCACTGACTTACTATTATATTATGAATTTTTCCATGTCCGTTACATTATATATATGTGTGCATATGTGTGTATATATATATGTATGTATGAGTGTGCGTGTGTGTATATACAGTCATGCATATATATATGTGTATGTATACAGCTGCATAATGACGTTGTGGTCAATGTTGGATCACATATATGGTGGTGGTCCCATAAGATTTGTACCATATGGCCTAGGTGTGTGGTAGGCTATACCATCTAGGTTTGTGTGAGTACACGCTACGATGTTCACACAATGACAGAATTGCCTAACGACACGTTTCTCACAGTGTATCCCCGTCGTTAAGTGATGCATGACTGTACATGTAGATATATATATATATATATAGTGGTTTCTTAATTAGATGCAAAGAAATATATTGCAATTAAATGAGTTTCTGAAATAAAATAAGGCATGTTATGATTCTCCATGATCTTAAATATGGAGTTTCTCATGGCAATTTTCTTACTAGACTGTACTTCCCTGAGGGCAGGGACCACATCTTATTTGTGGTTTTCCCCTCTAAACAAATACTATTAATGCTGAACATACGGAAGAGAGCATAGTCACTGGGCTACCGTCTTTGGTGGCACTGCCCAACTCTAGTTGTAGTCAATACAGGTTTATAGGTCTATCACACAACTTCCAGCAGATGATAGGAAAGTGTCTTAGGGATGATATAATGTTTCCTAATTCTTACAAATGTGCCATGCAGTTCCTTGCTATTTTGGGGCCAGAGTTCATTGTCCCATCTATGTAACTTCATATTATTGATTTACTTATGCATTTATTTCTCTTCGTGTGTATTTATTTATATTCTATATCTAGAATCAATAAGCTGGGATCTGGAAGTGATTTTGAAGCTTATTTTCAGAGACTTGGAATTGCTTCGGGCAGAGCCCGTTACACTAAGAATAGGGTAAGTCATTTTATTTTTTTGGATACTTAGCACTTAATCCACATTCTTTTTGTTAGGAATTCTGTCATTTAGTTGTTTGGCAGCAGGCATCAGGTGGACATGTGGCCTGGGAAGAATTCCAGGCATAGAGACAGACTACATGTCCCTTTGTAGATGGACTAGGATGTAATTTGGGTTATTTTGTGAATTTTCACTGCCAGGGTTATTCAGTGAAGTGGTAGTGGACAGAGTAATGCCAGCTCCTTGACTGGTTATCAGTACCAAGTTGTTCATATCCTTTTCCTGATGCAGGCTTTGTCGGAAAATCTCATTCTTTCAGTCTTGTAGGCTCTGATGTACTTTTCCTAAGGAAAATGTGCACTTGGAGAACACATTTGATTACAGGGAAGGCTAAACTAAGATTCTTTTTTTTTAAAGATTGGCACCTGAGATAACATCTGTTGCCAATCTTGCTTTTTTTCCTTCGTCTTCTTCTCCCCAAAGTCCCCCAGTACATAGTTGTATATTCTAGTTGTAGGGCCCCTGCTGTGTGGGACATCACCTCAGCACGGCTTGATGATGAGTGGTGCTAGGTCTATGCTCAGGGTCCAAAGCAGCGAAACCCCAGGCTGCTGAAGTGGAGCATGCGAACTTAACTACTCGGCCACGGGCCTGGCCCCTAGACTAAGATTCTTTGTTAGCAGCCCCTCTTCACATTCCCACTCCTGCCTGTCATCTGAGTCCAGGGCTCTTGGGAGGGGAATAAAACAAGTTTCTCTTAATTTTTAACTTGATCCTCTTTGTTGTTCTGCGCTGACTGGTTTGCAACTTGCCACACAAACACACTGATGATATGCAAGTACTTGGATGTGCTGAAATATACCATGTTTGCTTGTTTATGTTATAAATTATGTCATAAGCCAAATTGAAGATTATATCAGTAAACTCAGATTTGTCAGATTTTTAATAATTTTCAAATCATAATCTCAATATACCAACATCTTGCTTGTCGGCTATACATATCCCTTGCAAATTTGACTCTCCAGAATACAACTAAGTAATAATCAAAAACAGCTCCAAAATAACCCAGAATAAATGCATAAATCTGTTTACTAATACTCATTAAACTTAATACAGAAAAGATGTGCTTTACCTCTTTCAAGGCCTGTTCACTTTTATACTCTGTCAACAATCTGTCGTTATCTAGTATCTAAGATAATGCAGATTAAAAGCAGAATATTAGATAGAAGGAGACTGATACAAGGATTCCTTTAAATGATACTGAAAGCAATAAAAATGATAGCCTTATAGCAAAGTAGCAGATAGGTAAAAGCTAAAGTAAGGAAGGGCAGACCTAAGAAGTCAAAAAATATTTATACAGAATAGCACCATATAATTGTGTTTATAATGGTGGCCCTTGATTATGTGATAGAGGTTAAATGGCATTTGGTTATACACTGTTTGGGAAGGCAAGGAAGGTGCTTAAATACATAATCCTTCAGCTATATGGCTACCTAGCTGCCCAGAATCTTTCATTCTCAATCAATTGATAATTTTAAACTGTGCTGATATGCCATTTGAGTATGTACTCCTTAATTTTAGTTATCAGAAATACAGTAAGGAAAATTTTCAGGAAGTAGTATTTTGCATGAAGATTTCATGAATTATAAAACGAATAATGGTAAAATTTTAAATAGTGTACATTTGGGGGTGGTGTTTTAGTTAATTAGATTTTAGTATTTTTTGCTTTATGGTGATAAAACTCAGGGTGCCATATGATTGTATTTTTTTCCTGTAGTCATTTTTATGATTACATAAAATCTGTTCATTTGAATATTTAATGTTTGTACTCAGTCCTCCCCCAACCCTTTTTGTTTTTTTCCAGAAAACAGATAAGTACAGCAGCTACCCAGTATACCATACAATTTACGAGACGTTTGAATTGGTAGAGAATTTCTATGACCCAACATTTAAAAAACAGCTTTCTGTGGCTCAGTTACGAGGAGCCCTGGTTTATGAGCTTGCAGACTCTAAAATCATTCCTTTCAATATTCAAGACTATGCAAAAGCTTTAAAAAACTATGCAACAAGTATCTACAATTTATCCAAGAAACATGACCAACAGCTGAGAGACCATGGAGTATCATTTGGTAAGAAATGGGCGGGTGGGCAGATTTTTATAATCTTTGAGTTGGTAAATATTTTCCCCATATTGCTGCCTTTAAAAATATTTTTACTGTTATAAGAACAATAGTATAAAAATGCAATAATGTTACACAAAGATTGGAAAGTAGGGAAAACCACCAATTCTACTATGTGTATGTATTATAGTCATTATTTTCTTTTATTTATTTTTTTTTGGAGGAAGATTAGCCCTGAGCTAACTACTGCCAGTCCTCCTCTTTTTTTGCTGAGGAAGACTGGCCCTGAGCTAACATCTGTGCCCATCTTCCTCTACTTTATACATGGGACGCCTACCACAGCATGGCTTTTGCCAAGTGGTGCTATGTCCGCACCCAGGATTTGAACCAGCAAACCCCAGGCCGCTGAGAAGCGGAACGGGCGAACTTAACCACTGCGCCACTGGGCTGGCTCCTATAGTCATTATTTTATTAATACTGCATATATCTTTTAGTGTTTGTCTACATGGAGGATTTTTTACATAGTTTTAAGCATTCTTTCCTTTGATATCCAGCCGTTTTGTGTTTGCTGCTCTATGTCATGTATCTCCTGCAAGGCAGGGATGAAATAAGTGTAGTGTGGTAGCATTGAGCATTGGGTCTGGAAGCAGTTTCCTGGTTCAAATGCTGGCTCTAATATTTAGTCACTGTGTGTCCTTGGGAAAGCTGCATAACTCCTCCGTGTGTCAGTTTTCTTATGAGTGAAATGGCAAAGAGGAATATAACATGTTTTCAAGATTGCTGTGGAGATTCAGTTGGTTGATTTATAGAAACACTGGTGACTGTGACTGACACTTAGTGCTCATAAAAGTTACCTATTACTACTGTTCTATTGTAACCATTTTCTTTTATTATTCTGGGAGTACATATTCTTAGTACATACCAAAAGTATCAAATATGTACTGAGTGTCTACAAGGTACCAAGTAGTATGTTAGTTCCTGGGAGTTGTAAGGATGTCTAAGACATAGTCGTTGTCCTCAAAGAGCTTAAAATCTCATGTGAGGAAGGAGAAGACGCAATGCAAGGGACATCCTATTGTAGGGGTACAGAGAGAGTACTGGAAGTGCACAGAGAGTGAAGTGGGCAGCACTGGCTTTTGAATATTATGACATAAGAATTAGTGATCTTTAGAAAGTTATGATGAGCAGCAGATCTTTATTTCTAAGATCTAGAAATAAAATGAAGCAAAGAAAATTTAGGAAATTGCATTTACTTAGACATGATTGGAGAATCTCTGTAATGGTGGGGACAATGGAGAGATGAAATTGGAGAAATAAGTAGAGCCTAGAACAAGTTGGATATTCATAGTTCTGTGGCTGTCCAGCACTCAGTTCTCTTCCTAAATACCCTGACTGCCTTTGTTGAGTTACCTTTTATCAACTTGTAGAAGTCAGGGTCCAGTTGAGAGACAGAAACCACACCGTTACAGTGGGAGGACTCTTTATATATACGAGGTTAATTGATCCACCGTTTACCTTCCTAGGGACCTAGTCTGATCTGTTAATGCCTGTCTCCCCCATATTTTCAAACTCTCCATCTCTACTGGTGACTCTCCATCAGTGTTAAACATTCTCATATCTTTTCTAGCTTGAAAACATTTATTCTACCTGATGTGCCCTACTTCCTTCACAATCAAAATTCTTCACATAGCGCCAGGCAAAAAGTCCCTCAGAAAATGTTTTAATGAAGGAAGGAATGATGGATGGATAGACGCATATATAATCTACAGTCCCTGTCTTGTTCTTTACCTCCCACTAACCAATCCACTGCACTGTCTTAGGTTCCTACTCTACTGAAATTGCTCTTGCCCAAGTTATCACTCACTTGTGTCACTAAATCCCGGGGACACGTTTCAGTTCTTATCTATCTTCACTTCTGTGCTTCAGTGGAAATTTAAAATTCCTTCTTCAACACTCTTTTCTCACAGCTTCCATAATATCTATTCTTTATTTGATTGTACATGATTAAAAAAACAGCAACAATAATTAAAGCTTAAAGAATATCCAGGACTAAAAAGACCTTTTTTCTTATACTGAATGTACTACTTACTAGCTGTGTGACCTAATAGAAATCCCATGTCTGGAGCTGTAGGGGTTTATCTGTAAAATGAGTATGTATTCCATGCCTCATAGGATTAATGCAAGAAGCAAATTGATATTGTATATTAATGTCTGGGTTAGAACAAATGGAAAAATGATAAATAGGTTGTAATAAAAAATATACTGAGAACCTAATCCCTTTTTCTCCAGAAACCTTGTGAACTAAGGAAGAGTTTGATCAGACTAAACCTGATCCTATTTCTTAGAGTCTAGATATATCAGCTTGTCACAAGTTGCCTTTAAACAAAATCTTAAATCACTACTTAAAAACAACGATTAGCATTGTTTTATTCTGTAATAATTACAGGAACATCGCTCATTTATAGCTGTATCCAGATCTAGCATATGGTAGTTTTCCCAATAAATATGCACTGAATGAATAACTAAAGGAATGCTGGGTTTCTGGTAAATTATGAGTTAAAAGAATTATTTACATCTTAGACTCTTGAAAGTTATTTCCTTAAGAATCAATTTAGCCATTTTCTATCTTATACATTATTTTGTTACAATATTTTCTAATAATTCCCATGGATCTGCAAGAAGGCTCAGTAGAAAAATGGTTTCAGTATCTATTCTGTCATATCAGCCTGGAAGGGGAGGGCAGGAAAGTGAACCTCTGAAATATGAAGCACTTGTGTTTATGAATTTCATTCTACTTTTCTTTTTTTAAAAAAGATTCCCTGTTTTCTGCTGTGAAAAACTTCTCAGAGGCTGCTTCAGATTTTCACAGAAGACTTACCCAAGTTGATCTTAACGAGTAAGTTTCAAATGTAAAGCTCCCTACTGTTTTGAAAAGCAATCTGCTTACTCGACTGAACTGTGTACACTCATGTAAGCATTCAGCTCTAAATCACTGCTACTCAGATCATGGTCTGCAAACCAGCAGCATCAGCGTCACCGGGAAGCTTGTCAGAAAGGCAGAATATCAGACCCCACCCAAGACCGACTCAATTAGAGTGCTGCACTTTAACAAGCTCTCCAGGTGGACTGTATTCACATGAAAGTTCGAGGAGCATTGCTCTAAATCGTAGACTAAAACTTCATCCCAACACAAGGGCCAAAGAGACATGCCTTTAGGAGTTTACATGATAAGAATTCTGACTATAGCTGGAAATTCATAGTTCTGCAGCTTTAAGTACCTTTGTAGTATATTTCACTACAGGCCTAATACTCCTATGACCAGTGTAGAGATTCTTTTTTTATTGATATTTTTCTGCATTTCATTTAACCTGTTGCTACTTTTAGGTTGAAAAATAAAAGTTGCACTCAAAGCATTATTTAATAAGCATAAATTTTTCCACAGTACAGTCCATGTCATATTTCTTTATTTTTTTCAGAGTCAATCAGAATAAGCTTTCCCACCTCCCATATTGCCAGAAAGCTTTCCAGTCATTTTGAGGGGCTCACACAGTACCCCAAAAAGAGAGTTGGCAGATTCTGAGTGGGAATCTACCATTCTGTAGGCAGCTGTCTGCCAACTTCTTGCAGGCTCCTGCAACTTTCCTTCGTTCTTCACTGTTCAGCCTTTATTCTGCTTCTTTCCTCCACAGTAGAAGTGAATGGCTTATCAAGAGCAACTGGATAGTACGCCTTGTCTACCTTTGCAAGAGGCCTGGCTATCCTCCTAGAAAGAATTAAAAATGTCTTTCACTTCTTTCTGATCAATCTGTGGTCTTGAAAAACAAAACAAACCATTTTGCAATAGGTCTCTCTGCTTATTATAAATATTAGAAAGATGTCCCTGCTAGTATATGTAGCCTACCATGTAAAGCAATACTCTGTTAATATGCATTTTCTTAACTTCTAAAATCAATAGATTTTTATGTTCCCATGCCTTATCCTTATTTAATATTATTTTAAAATATGGTTCCGTGGTAAGAGTTATAATTATTCTCTCTCCTCAAAGTCCCATTGCAGTGAGAATCATGAATGACCAGTTGATGCTCCTGGAAAGAGCATTCATCGACCCCCTTGGTTTGCCAGGGAGGCAGTTCTATAGGTAAGGAAGCAACAGGTGTCTCACTAAAGGACACCAAATACCTCACTGACCCAAACCAGCCTCCCTAAGGTCAGCTTTAAACTACTGCCATCAGGTGAATGGAAGGTGAATATGTATACTGAGAGGAACGTGGGTAAGATTATACATAACAGTATAAGTTGTAATATTAGAAAAATTAATTTCATATTGTTTATTGTTTTGCTGTAGATGTAAATGGTAAATGATAGTTGACAAAGAACTCTTTATAAGAAAATCTAAAAGCCCTAGGATCTCAAAGGGCGTCTTAGAGCTCATGTCGTTCAAATTTCTACATGAATCTGTTCTATGAGATCTCAGTTAAGTAGTTATCCAGCCTCTGTTTGAATCTTCCATTGATGAGAAGCTTACTGTCTCATGCAGAAGTCCATTCCATTTTAGGAAAGGTCTACTTCATGGAAAGTTTTCTTCATAAAGATCTATTTCCCTGTAATTTTCTCCCTCTGATCCGTTCTGCTCTCCAGAATCATACAGAGTAAGTCTAGATCTATTTCCATACATTTTAGGTTTTTGAAGCTGGCTACTAGGTTTCCCCTAAAGAAGTATCCTCTTTTGTGTCTATATCTCTATGTTTTCTTTCAGTGTCTTAGCTGCATGCTTTTGGATAGCCTCGTTTTTCGAGGTACTTAAACTACGGTTCCTTGGTAGAAAATCATAAAAGTCCTAGCATTTAGAATCAGAAAATCTGTGGTCTAGCTTACTTACACGTGTGATTTAGAGCA